TGTGGAACAAATTAGTTCTACCAGGAATGTCTTTAAATCTCCGCCCTGCAGATTTTTCCCGAACCACCTGCATGCTTATAATTCCACGAGTTCACCAGGAACTGATGCAATTTAACCCAGACAGGCCTGAATCGAATTCAGTATTTTGAAGGGAACAAAAAAAAGTAGTTTCCTGTTTTCACCTGTGTGCCCGCCCTTGGCCTTCGCGGTTGTCCAAGGCAAGTAATAACCAAAGGCCCAATTTAGGGTGGAGTCAACCTTCAGTAACTGCGCAGTAGTAGAACTAGAATCCGGAATCCCGAAGGAAAACGTGCATTGCCCAGAAAGAATGTTTTTTTTTTTTACTTCTAAATTTTAGGGGGGGGGGGAGGACTGATGCGGTTGTAGAGCATACAACCATGGTATTGGGTGTCCAGAAAGAAGGGCCGTTTTGATATGTCCCTGTCCTTGGCTTATACTGCCTGAACTTCAGCGACTTTTTTAATTTTTTAGTTGTTCTGTTAGCCTGTGAATTTGAAATGTTTTTGGATATTGAATCATGTTTTCTTCTTTGAGTATGGGTAAACAATACTCAAGCATTGGTATTGTATTTTTACACCCTGAATTTGTGTTAACGTGAGAAGCTCCAACTGGATGTAATTTTCTGACCTTTTTTTTTTTTTTTTTTTTAAACACAGATCTGCGTTCGGNTTGTTTTAATTTTTTGTCTTTTTTTTTTTTTTTTTTTTTAAACACAGATCTGCGTTCGGAAATCTCCGCGAGTATTTTCGCACAATTATAATTTTGGACCAGCTGAGTTCTGGGACTGCTCAGCTGATCCCTCCCATACAAGGACAGTTTTTTGTTTTCATTTCTTAGAAATGACTTTCGGCGTGTCAGGAAGTTCCCAGGCATTCCCCTGCCTGTGGGGAGTCCCATCCTGGAAGCTATGGAATGTTGAGAACTGCGCAGTTTGAGGGGGGAGTATAAGGACTTGCACCATATGGGTTGAAACTCGGAAGGGGGGGGGGGGGGGAAGGGGGATTATGTAACAGCTGGTAGAATATTCCAGCTGCGACGACGTATCTTGTACAGGGGGGCAACTCTTACATACTGGGCTGATTCCGTTACATGCCTTCTTTTCCACCCCACTTCCTTGGCTTATTTTCATCTGATGACTGTCACAGTGAGCTAGGGTTAAAAGGTTGTTACATTTATTTTTTAGGATGGAGCATGATGGGATTGCTTGTAAGGGCAGTTAAATTCCAAGGTACAGTACAAGATAGAAATGAAAAAAGAGTTTTTGAGTTGGGGAAACTACCATATTGCCTTGAAAAAAATAATTAAGGAAGGTGAACTTATGAATATGTTCATTTGAAGCTGCCTTGCATATAAATTGACAGGTTGCTGAACTTGGAGGCAAGGTTCACTTGCCCCATTAGTCACTCACTTCTGTTTGAAAAAAAAAACAGTGTTATACAGGTGGTACCTTGCAATTTGACCCTAATCAATTGCTTAACTAGTTTCAAATTGTGAATTGGTTAAATTGCAAGACACTCCATGAAAATTGAAAATTGAAAACTCCACAAAATGCAAAAAAGTGGCCAGAGCAGGCCAAATTGTGGGACAATGGTCAAATTGAAAGTCAACCTCCTTGCAAAGTTGACCATTGCATTGCGAGATGGCTAAATTGCAGGAGGTCAAATTGCAAGGTACCACCTGCACTCTAATTCTTTTTTTTGCTTTTTGTGGGTCAAACAAATACATTACTGTACTGTAATTATGCTCTACTTGCTACAATGTCTCCAGGAAATTCAAGTTACCGGGATTTGAGGGGAAAGCTTATTGAGTTGGGATGGTTTTTAATGTATTGTTCTTGAAAGATGTTGAGACAGGACTTTGAAGTGAGAAATTTAAAAAAAGGAGGTTCAAGTTGTTTTTAGTTTCAAACTATATATGAAATAAGTACAGTATTTGTTGGCAGTGAATGGCCAAGTTTTATTCATGTTCCCAATTTTTCTCAGTTGAACAAATCATGTTCAGTAGGATGTGGAACAGAAAATGTGCTGATTGGACAATTTCTTGCATGACGAGCCTGTGTCTGGCTTGAGGAACAACCTTGAATTAAAGAACAAACCTAAAGTCAAGAAGAATTATGCTTGAACTGTTTTACTCTAAAAATTGATAATGTACCATTGATTTTGAGATACATTACTGAAGGCCCTACTGCACAATTGACCCTTGGTTGAAAATCAAATCTGATCCAAATGAAAATCTTTTCATCGAAACCAATTTTTTTCAGTGGATTTGTGATGAGTGAGTGACCTTTTCTTACCTCCCAAACAACTCATGACATGGCCGAAAAATTATTGACTCATTCATACCATGGTTTGTCACCAGGTCTGTGATCCTAACCCATACCTATTTTTGGAAGTGATGTTGGTCTCTAATGGGAATTCAGACATCAATTTCTATTAATTTTTGCTTGAAAATTTTCCTCAGACAAAATTTGACCAAATTTTCAGTTTGCTAACCAACTTGTGCACAAAAGTTTGTCAACCAGTGATAGACTGTACAGTGAATTGTATTTTTATGCTATGCTAGATTCAGTAAAATCCTTCTGCTCCTTGAATTTAGAAATGTATAATTTTATATTCCAAGCAGGAGCAGAAGTGAAACATGCAACTTTCCCATAACACTTGGTAGAGGCGGGTTGAAAGATTGGGCTAATACATTGTTCTGTTAATTTTAGTCGGGTTTTATTTTTTGCTGTAGTGAAAATATTCCTTCTCCTCAGTGCCACTTTGTTGAAACAAGTACTGTCTAGGTGGACACCACAGATTCAATTACAGTAAAATTTATGTTTTAATTTTATGAGTAACAACATGTGTGCAAAACTTCTGAGAAAAGGACAAGTTTACAATCTGTCGCATTTGTTTTTGGATTGCAAATGTACCCTTCAATTGTAGCAACATTTAATAATCGGTAAGTTTTTGCGAATGTTGTTGGTCTTGAGCTCGCTTTTATCGAAAGATAAAATATTGTGGTGGATCCGTTGACCCGTGTATTAATTCGTTGCGCGTGTGGCCTCAAAAACTTATCCAAGTGAAAGACAAGAGATTACCGTAAGAATGCCCCCCCCCCCCCCATTCGTGTAATAATTTGTCCTTCGTCCTAAGAAAGAGAAAGAAACAAATGGAAAATGAATGTCAGTGAACCGGGTCCATTCCCAGGCCACAGCCTTACTAATTTGTCATGCGTGGCAGAAAAAAAATGTGGAAAGTACAGTATCTTACTGGCATTCAAGTACTGTACTTGTTAAAAGTACCCAGAGAACTTTTCCCTGAAATTCATCCTCTTCCTTTCTGATTCGCAAGGTGGAGAAACGCTGAATCTCCTTCCTTTGAGCAGAAAATTATAGCGACATTGAGTTCCATTCCCGTCATAATTTTCTAAACGTCACTTGTTCTTTTCCTTTTTCACGGGAAGATGTCTGGGAAATTATCTGCAAACTCTGGATACGAAAAATGAGATTCATTGCTGTATTCCGATTAGTCTTCTTTTTTCGTTTTTTTTTTTTTGAGTTGTAAAAGCAGGAGCATTTGGTTCAAATTAGCCAGCGAAGAGATGATTAATTCGAACGTCTGCTGGTGGACCGAGAAAAAGGGAATTTTAAGACGGCCCATTCGTAAGTTCTTGCAGTTTTTCGTCTCATTTTTCATAGATTCGCTGGATTTAATTTTAGATTTTATCACGAACGTCTGAGGACGCATATTTTAAATCTCTAATCACATTTGCCAATTTTTGCGGACCTGGGTTTTAGTGTAACTGCTGTCCGCATGTAGCTGGTATATTGGAAAGCATTTTAAAAATATTATGAAGCTTATGCCAAAAAAGGTGTTAAATTCATGCTTTAATTAGAAACGCATTCTGATAATCTAAAGAATTTGTGCAGCATATGTTCTGAAAGTGAAGACTGTTTTAAAATATATGTTGTTGGTGAGCTGAAAGTTGTGCAAATTAAGTGCTGGGACTGAATAGAAAAGGATTCCAGGTGGGCCCTCTCAATAACAAATTCAGGGAATTATAAAAAAAATTATGGAGAAAATTTTGTTGTAGAGAACCACTGTAAGATAATGCATTATAATGATAAAATTTTTGTGGACAACATCGTTTTATAGAGAGTCTGCCTGTATAATAAAGGTGGACTCTCTTTACAACAATCTTTCCTACAACAATTTAACATTTTAATGAATTCTTTTGTTGTCCATTCCCATGTTATAGGGGCTCTCTAAAACAAAAATTAACTCTACAAAGATTTTTTCTGGTCCCTTGAATTTCATTGTAGAGAGTCCACCTGTATTATCTTCAGTTGGACCTTTTTTTTAGTCAAACCCTCCTTTGTTGAATTTTTTTATTTCCTTGTCTGAATTTCTTGGAGAGCAATGAAATGCATTTGTCCCCAATTCAGAAACTTTTCCTAGTAAAACTTGGTAACTGAAAATTCGAAAGGTATTTTTGCCATGATTTCAGGAACCCATGAAGAAGAGTAATACTAATGTTAAGTGATGCTGCACTAAAGAAATTAAGTGATCAATATAGCAAATGTACCCTTGCCTTCAAGTGCAGCATCTTGTCAGCTAATTTATTCAGCACTTTAAGACCCAAGGATAATCATTCATTTTATCTTCCTGCAATTCTTCAATTTGTTCCTCTAAAAAAAGCCAAAAATGCGTGTTTCCACCTTTTTGGGTTTTTCTGGGTTTGACTGCATTATGAAGACAAAACTTTACGTGTAACCCCATTATTCATCGCCTCTTGGTGGGATTAGCCACCGGAAAGGCGGTTATTTCGAGTGGGACCAACACACACTGAGCAACGCTTGAGCAACTTTTACTTTCTTGGACCAAGGAATGGATAGATGGGTTCCGCTAGTTGACTCTTTCTCTCCCTCCCTCTCTCTCTCTCTCTCTCTCTCTCTCTCTCTTACTTGTTGCTAATTTTACTACGACTAGGGAATAATGGCGTCTCTGAAACATAAACTTTTCATCGACGGTCTGCCCTCGTCAACAGATGGTTTGTCATCCGTCCTCGTCACTTGGCTGACGGCAGAGCAGCTGTTGAAGTGTTGGTGTTCTCTGCCTTGTTGCTCGTCTGGGCTATTCAAAGTGACGTGCATAAATCTTGTGGGGGCCCACGTTTTGTTTATCACATGACTTCTGCTTGTTTTTTTTTTTTTTCACCATTGGATGATTGCCAAGCTTCAAGGATCTTCTGACCTATCATGGTTCATTTTAGTGGACTAGGTTGCATGATCAAGTTCTGTCTTGAAAAGGGACCCTGAATGAGACAACTTTGGAATATGCCCCTCTTCCTTTTTAAATTAATGCTGTACCTTGAAAATGCCCAGTATGTGGGACTTCATTCTTGATACTGTACTGTAATTGGAATTTTTTAATGACATGCACTCAACAAAAAGCTGTTCAACTGTCCAAGTTAGGTTTGGCTTTGCTGTCATACTTCCTAAATATGATGTCTTGAATTTGAAAAAAAAATATATTTGAAGAGGTTTTATTGTTTGACACAGAGACTGATTGTTGGAAACCATGGCTTCTTCTATCCAGCTTTACTTGGACTGTTTGAAACCCAAAACTTGACTCACTTCATATTTCCCCCATCACTTATTCAATATTATCTAAAGTTTTGCTTGTGCTAGGCCAGTGAGACTGCCCACTTGTGTTTTAGAAGTAGAATATAATTCAATACTGTACATGAGATTAACTGACAAATATATATTTTTTTTTCAACAGTGCTACAAGTGCCCCTGCTGACATACTTTCCAGCTTGCCAGCTAGGTGTAGTAAGGTTTTAGCACAATATTATATACAAAGACCGAGTTTGCAAATTTTTTTTAGGAGGAAAATAGCTTGAAAAGATGCAAGTTGTTGCTGTCCAGATTCTAAATAATCCAGGTAGTTAACATTATTCTAGAAAACACTTGTGTTTGAGACCTTGTTGTATTTTGCCTGGGTTTTAATCTAGAGGGAAAAGAAACCATTTAAAAAGTTGTTTTAGGTGCAGGCTAATAATTTAGTGATATGAACAAAATTGGTTGTGACGAAATTTTTTAGTATCTAATGACATTTCTCTTCCGTTTGATTGAATATGCAGCAGGCACTAAATAGTTGTACACGCTCTGAAGAACATGTGTTTTTCCCTATGCCTTGGCCGACATTCTGAAATTCAAACTTGCGACTTTTTTCCAGATTCTCCAATTTTTGGGGGAGTTGTGAGAAAAAATAGTTTTCTTTGTCTTTTGGAATGTTTGCCTTACTTTGAAGCATTTAAAACCCCCAAGCTTGATACGTCTTGAAAGTTCTGCATTTTAAATAATTTTTCTGCAAAATGAATCCAATACTTGAAGTCACTTTTTTTACTAACAGAAACGTTTCGTTAAATGAGTCTCTTGTAATGTGGGGACTCACTGTTGGGGAAGTTGAACAAAGCCGTTTTTCTGTCTGCTGTGCACTTAGGACGTTGTGTTACAGTTATAGTGAAAGCGGGACAGGGATATACAGTAGTTGTGAAGGGCGAGGGAGAGTGGCTGGATGACATTACAGTACGACAAAATTGGTAACGTCAATTCACTCAGCTGGTATCCAAGGCGAAGCCGCGAGGGAGGGAGGCAGGCAGGCACTTGTGGCCGTCTGTTGGGAGGGTGGTGGTGTGCATTTTGCGCCTGTTTGCCGAGAGACGAGAGACAGGGACACGTACTGTACTCTACTGTATTTCGTTTCCCCGGCCCTACAGTGTGACAGTCCCTACAGTAGCCAACTGCGCGTCTCAGCGGGAGGACGGTTTTTTATCTACGTAGAGCTTCGTGAAACGCAGTTCGCGTTTCTTTTCTTCGTCTCGCCGCGTCGACATAATTTCTCATACTTCATGTAAAACTGTGGCTACTTTTATATGTGTGCGTGTATGTGAAAAATGATTCAGAAGTATGATGGTCTCTTTTGGTCCGTGTGGCTTTTCCGCAGTGTGGTTTCCTGCCCGGTGTGTCCAGTGAGCGATTGAAGCTCGTCAACATGGGCGCTATTCGTGGTTCGGACGACCATCGGTTCTCCGTGCTCTCCTTCGACCAGGTCAGTCAGTCTCTTCCTCTCTCACCAATCAAGCGAAAATCACGTGGTATCTGTATTTGGTAATCTTCTTGCGACGATTTGAAAGGACGATTTGAATGATT